GAGGGAGGGGGGAGGAGCGGGGAGCCACGCGCTCAGGGGAGGAGGTGGAGAAAAGACAGGGCAGGGACGGGGCCTCATGGAAGGGGTGGAGTGGAGGCAGGGCCAGGGACAGCGACCAGGAGTGTCAGTGATGCGGCCCTCGGGCCAATGCACTAGTCCTCATGTGGCCCTCGTGGTCATTTGAGTTTGAGACCCCTGGTGTAACCTGAGGATATTACTTTGAGCACTCAACAGTCCAAGGTCAGCTGAGACCAGGCCGACCAGAAGGGGCAGAGGCAGTAGAGGAAAGCGTGGGAGTGTGGATCCTGGGAGGTGACTGGGGTGTCGTCCTCGAGCGCAACCTCAACATGACTGCTTCTGGCCTCCTTGGTTCCTGGAAGGGCCAGGCTGAGAAGACAAATGGAAAGACCATGCAGGTCCTTAGCTGGGGAGTACCCGAGGACCTAGACTGTGGAGGCGGAGGGCAGAACGACTTCCTGGCCTGCTAAGGAGTATGAAGGCCCAACGAGTGGACGGTGGCACGGGAGTCTTCACGGCCATGGAGTCTCTAGTCCGTGAGCTTGGAGAAGAGCCCATCCCCCTCAAACAGGAGGTCCTGTATAGTGGCCTGCATCTCATGGGATAACCCGGAGGACTGCAACCAGGAGCTGTACCTTATGGCCAACACAGAGGTGACCACACTGGCTGCTGAGTCAGCAGTGTCCCCGGCCATTTGAAGGACTCCCCTTGCCACCACTGTGCCTTCATCCACTCAAATGTGAACTCCTGAGCTCGGTCCTGTGGGAGGGCCTCCTTAAATTTATTAAGGGAGTCCCACAGGTTAAAACTGTACCTGCCTAACAGGGCCTAGTGGTTAGATATCCAAAATTGCAGGCTTGCCATCAAATAAATCTTTCTGCCAAGTAAGTCCATAGAATCATAGAATACCAGGGTTGGAAAAGACGTCAGGAGGTCACCTGGTCTTGCTTTGAGCAGGGGGCTGGACTAACACCAACTAAATCATCCCAGACAGGGCTTTGTCCAGTCTCTTGGTGTCTTTGTTTTTTGGCATGCCACTGACTTTGCCCTGCCTGTCCGTTTCATTAATGGCAGATAGACCAGTGACGCCGCTGGAGGGTGCATATACAGATATTTAAACCCTTTCACAGGAAGGTAACACTTCTTTTCCACCTTCTTAGAAGCAGACAGAATCAAAGAGGAGGTCTGCCACAGTAATTTGGCAATCTTAAGGACCCCTGAGTGGACGGGCAGCATGACCCAGGCCATGGTGGGTGGGAGGGGCTGCCCGTTTGAGAGGGACCCGCCACCACTTTGTCCGGAGATGATGACGACAAGTGCACTGCTGGGGGAGGGGCAGGTTCCCCTTCCCCTTCTCTGGGGATGGCTCCTTAGGTGCTGGAGTTTGATGCGCTGCCTCCGCATCCGATTCGGTACCGTACTCTAACTCCGGTGCCAGCTGTGCTGGGGGTGATTTGTCCGAGTCCGCCAGTGAGGACTGGTGGGAATATGGGACCAGCATCACAGACATGCCCCACGGGTTCCAGTATGGCCATTGAGCGGGCCACTTTCCCTGCTGCCATGCCATCTCTGCAGGTGCCACGCCGGCTTAGCGGCTTGGTGGTAAATCACCCCTCCTTGGGGAGAGGCTGAACTCCTGGTCCAAGTCCGACCATTGCCCTTCTGGCGACCAGAGCAGAGCCATCAAGGCCTGAGTCTGCCGACTGACACTGGTCAGCGACCGGTGAGGTGAGGATCAGTGACTGCCCAACAAGCGGGTACCGGGGGGGGGGGGGGGGGGGGATGGAGACTGGTGCCATGACAGGGAGTGATCCCGCCCTGGTGGGGACTGACACCTGAGAGACCATCTGAGCGAGGGTGACCTGCACTAAAGTGATCTTTCATGGGAAGCTTGCCGGTATCGGTGGTAGGAGGACCGGTGCCTAGACTCTGGTGTCCCATGTCTTGTAGTGGGAGAGTGTGGTGTCGGGGACTGGAGATGCAGTGCCAGGATCCTAGGCCACGGAGATGGTGATCTACATCTGCGGTCTGGGGTCCAAAGGTGCTCCACTGCCCTATGGGGTGGTCCCATGATTGGCTTGCTCTTAGGTGCTGGGGCCTTATCAAGTGCGGCGCCTGGCGCAGTGTCTGCAGTACCGGTCAGCCCAACTTGCTCTTTAGCTGCTGGAGCCACTTCGGGCAACGAGGACCTGAGGAGAAGCTGGGGTCCCCTGCCACTCCCGGGAGTCAGATCCCTGGCTAGGCTCCCGGGGGTCTGACCTCAGTGGCACCCCCGTGACGGGCACATGGCCTGACATGGGTCCTTTGCCTGAGGTCCCTTTCCCCTCCAGTGCCAGGGGGCTCTTCTTTTGCCTCTTCTTCGGTACCGGCGAGGGGGAACGGTGCCGACGGTGCGCTCCACACCAATGCTGAGGTGTGTGGTGTGGGATCCGAATGGGACGGCTCCAACACAGGACAAAGTGCAGCTTCCATGAGGAAGGCCCTCTAGTGAATATCCTGCTCCTTCTGGATTCTGGGGCAAAAGCTCTTACAGATTCTGCACTTGTCCTTTCTATGGGACTCCCCGAAGCACTTCAAACAGCTGGCATGGGGGTCACTAATAAGCATCAACCTGTTGCATGAGGAGTATGGTTTGAAGCCAGGAGAAAGGGGCATGTCCCGCTTAAGGGCAAAGTTTCAGCCGGGTCTAACTACAAACTAACCTAACACTTAACTTAATGGCTAACTAATGTGACAGATTCAGACCAGAAGAACATAAGTGGTTGAAGGCAGGGATATCAGCCTTCAGAATGAGCAGGTCCCTGTTCTCTGGATAGCCAAACAAAGGCTATTCCAGACCAATTAAGACACCTGACGCCAATTAACCAGTTAAGGCCGTTAGGCTAATGGAGACAGCTAGAACCAATCAAGGTCCCACTTCTACTGTTTAAAAGCTCTCCTTCCAGTAGACTCTGGGGAGCCAAGGTGAAAGGAGCTGGAGAAGAGGAAGCATTGCTGAATCCTGAGGTAAGGGTGAAGCTAGGGAAAGGGGATCACGGGGGAAGTGGCCCAGGGAATCAAAGCAGCATCAGTGATGAAAGGAAAGTCGCCAACAGCTGCTACCATTAGGGTCCCTGGGCAGGAGCCTGGAGTAGAGGGCGGGCCTTGGTTCTCTCCCCCACCATACTCTAGAGAGATCCCCTGGAGAAGGGAAGCAGGACTCGGTCCAGGCAGGGGGCTGAACTGCGCCTACTGAGCTCTACGGAGCAACAGAGACTGTGGGGTATTCCCCCTTCCCATCTCCCATACTGGCCGGTGATGAAAGTAACTCAATAGGCTGTGACTCTTGCCACTACACTGAGAAAGGGAGGTCACACTGGGGCCTTATCAAGTTTCTGAGGCCACTGAATCCGCCCAGAAGTGCAGGACCCACCAATACAGGCTCGGAACTTTGTCACACTAAGTACCTACAAACTATATACAAAGAAGACAGACAATGGGCTATGAAGAACCGCTAATGCTCTTGCGATGCAAGACAAGGAGCTCTGACCAACTGTCCCAGGTGGTAAAGAGGAACTGAGAGGGCATAGGGTCGGCAGCGCCTAATATACCAACGCATAAGCACGGCACGACCATCTGGATACCACTAAGGCAAAAATCTCTAATGACTGTGCACATGGGCATGCACACACCTAGAATGGAATGGACACGAGTAAGCACTTGAAAAACTAATTTTCTTAATTTCAATATTGGATCAAATTACCAAACCATATTTTCGTGTCTCCCGCAACGGCAATGCTCCCGTACCAAATGCTTCAAAAGAATGCACAAGAAACCCCATAATGGACAATTATGGGATAACTTGTCTATAAAGGAAGGTTTTCCCCCTAAACCCTGTCAGTCAGCAGTTGGTTTATGCCTTACAACATGAGGGTTTATATCCTTTGCAAATGTTTTCTCCTATGTAGTTTATCTTATAAGAATAATGAGAATATCTAAACAGCTAATATTTTTCTATTACTATTAAGTTCTTGATCTGAATGATATTGTGAAGAAATGAGTTCTGTAAGAGTATTTCCTTTTAATAATTTTAAATGTTTAGCCTCTTGTTCTTGTGTTATGAGAGAGTAAATAAGCACCTTACTTAACTTCTCTGTATCAAAATAGTGGCTCATTTCTTGCCCTCTCTACTTGTTTTTTAGGCTTCTAAACAGAGATTATTAAAATAATTTAAGATGAACACTATGTAGCGATTGCTCTATGGCCCAGAGGGAGAAACCATTAAACATTTTCTGAGTTTAGTTGTTAATATTTCTAATCTTCCAACAGCGTGCATATACAGAGCCGGGATATTATAAAGTAAGTTCTATCTTGATTAAGAGAATAAAAGGAAGGACATCTGTAATGAAGGTACTTAGGAACGGAAATCACCTCTGGCCTTTTTCTCTATTGTTGCATGTATTTTCATAAGCTAGTGGAAAAGGCCTACAAATTTCTCTTGTAAATCCCTTAGTTATTTTGTGGGAATTGGCATGTTTTTGTTTGTAATATTTTAGGAGACCATGGGTTTAATTCTGCCTCTAATAATCTGCCAGGTTTAATGTAAAATTTATCTGTAAAGTTACTCATCATTCATCAGTATTTTTACTGTCAAAATTCACTATTACTATCAAAATGTATTTAATTCCACAGTAATATAAAACGGTAATAAACCCTGCATAAGTCTCTCTCTAACAAACACATCTTTCAAAGCACCAACCTTTCCATAACATTTATACTAATGGCATTATCAGTACAGATCTGCAGATTTTCAAGTGAATTTTTTCAGTCTTTTGAAAGAGTAATTCAGTAGAAAGCTGACAATCTGTGCCTTTAAACAAAACTTCTTTTCTGTGGAGTCCAGCTATTTAGAACATAGAAATAACTAAAAACAATTATGAATATTAGTAAATGGTGAGTTCTCTGCTCTTCTTAGCTATATCAGGTTTATATCAACCACTTACCCTTGATCACTTCTGATTGCTCCCATGACACCAAGGACTAATGGCCAGCCAGGTCCTAGACTGTCACCTTGACTTTGCAAAATCTGTAATACACACTCCAATTGTTTGAGCCTGATATCAGGATGAATAATGTTTGACAGTTCCTTCAATGGATTTAACAAAAGCAACTGCAGCCTCTAGAAATAAATAGAAAAACAGCAAGCAGAGTAATAACTAACAGATTATAATGCATCCTTATGAAGCCACACAGTACAAATCTGCATTTTTTAGAGTGGGCTTTTCATAAGTGCCTACAGACCATCAGTAGGATGCTGGGCACCTAACTTCTTTAGGTACTTTTGAAAATAATTTTAAAGGTATAGGTTTTTTTCTCCCTCCTTAAAGTATTATATTTCCCAACAAATTTGGAGATACTTTTAAATCTTGCAGGTGAAGTTTAAGCTTAGGAAATGTAACAATATATTAAAAGATTGCAATGTATTATTTAAAAATAAGCACCAAACATGAACAAAGATTGATCAAGATGCATCTCTCTCAACTATTCCCCAGTATGAGGGTTACTCTTTTAGACCCAAATGTATTTCAGCCACATTGAAACTTTGAGCAGTGTAAATGGAACTGTCATCTTGATAACTGCAAAGACATGCTAGATCAGGGTGGCCAACCTGTGGCTCTGGAGCCACATGCGGCTTTTCAGAAGTTAATATGCGGCTCCTTGTATAGGCACCAACTCCGGGGCTGGAGCTAGAGGCACCAACTTTCCAGCCCGGGGAGGGGGCAGGGGTTGCTCACTGCTCAACCTCTGGCTCTGCCACAGGCCCTGCCCCCACTCCCTCCCCTGACCCTGCCATGCCCTCGCCCCCCCAGCACCTCCCAGCCTCCTGCATGCCATGAAACAGCTGATCGAGAGGTGGAGGGAGGGAGGGAGGGAGGGGGAGGCGCTGATCGGTGGGGCAGCTGGTGGGCGGGAGGCGCTGGGAACGGGGGTGGGGGAAGCTGATGGGGGGCTGCTGACGTATTACTGTGGCTCTTTGGCAATGTACATTGGTAAATTCTGGCTCCTTCTCAGACTCAGGTTGGCCATCCCTGTGCTAGATCATTAAACTGAAGATACAGCTGAAGATTTATTTCCAGATTCTTTCCACCTTTATACCATCTATTCCTCCTTTTTGGGTCTTTGTTTCACATAGTATCAAACACTTGGGCTTTGGCAGGTTTTGGGAGCTCATGGCCAAGAATCAGGAACTCTTACGTTCTCACTCAAGCTCTTGCAATGACTTATTGTGTGACCCTGAGCAACTCATTTAACCACTATCTCAGTTTACTCATCTATAAACTGGGATTAAGAAAAATCACATTCCTTGTAATTTTGCTTCTTGGACGACGATTTCACAAGAGTCTCATTCAAGAGTTTCACGCCACCAGTGTGAAACTGGTTGGGAACTTCCATGACCAAGGATCCTTGGAGGGCAATATCCCTCCATGCAAGCACTCAATCGTTCCCAGAAAGTAGTTATCAGTGGTTCACAGTCATGTTGGAAGGGCATAACAAGTGGGGTCCCGCAGGGATCAGTTCTGGGTCCACTTCTGTTCAATATCTTCATCAATTATTTATATAATGGCATAAAGAGTACACTGTGACAGACCCAGAACAGGAGGGTACAGGAGTCTGGTAGAGGGCAAATATACTGGTCACTGGATGAATAGTTTTCTGTTCCCTGAGCGACCAGAGCAGGGGATGCACGAGAGTAATCAGGAACCTGCTAGAACCAGTTAAGGCAGGCAGGCTAATTAGGACACCTGGAGCCAATTAAGAAGAAGCTGCTAGAATTAATTAAGGCAGGCTAATCAGCGCACCTGGGTTTTAAAAAGAAGCTCAGTTCAGTTTGTGGTGCAAGTGTGAGGAGCTGAGAGTGAGGGTGTGCTGCTGGAGGACTGAGGAGCACAAGCGTTATCAGACACCAGGAGGAAGGTCCTGTGGTGAGAATAAGGAAGGTGTTTGGAGGAGGCCATGGGGAAGTAGCCCAGGGAGTTGTAGCTGTCATGCAGCTGTTACAGGAGGTCCTATAGACAGCTGCAGTCCACAGGGCCCTGGGCTGGAACCCAGAGTAGAGGGCGGGCCCAGGTTCCCCCCAAACCTCCCAATTAACCTGGACTGTGGGTTCTTCCAGAGGGGAAGATCTCTGGGCTGTTCCCCAGCCCACATGGTGAATCTCTGAGGCAAGAAAATCCGCCAATAAGCAAAGGACCCACCAAGGTAGAGGAGGAACTTTGTCACAACACTTAAAGTTTGCAGATGAGACCAAGGTGGGAGAGGATGCAAGTGCTTTGGAGGATAAGATTAAAATTCAAAATGATCTGGACAAACTGGAGAAATGGTCTGAAGTAAATAGGATGAAATTCTCAAAGTACTCCATTGAGGAAGGAACAATCCAGTTGCACACATACAACATTGGAAATGACTGCCTAGGAAGGAGTACTGCGGAAAGGGATCTGGGGGTCATAGTGGACCATAAGCTAAATATGAGTCAACGGTGTAACACTGTTGCAAAAAAAGTGAACATCATTCTGGGATGTATAAGCAAGAGTGTTGTAAGCAAGACACGAGAAGTAATTCTTCCACTCTACTCTGCGCTAATTAGGCCTCAACTGGAGTATTGTGTCCAGTTCTGGGCACCACATTTCGGTAAAGATTTGGACAAATTGGAGAAAGTCCAGAGAAGAGCAACAAAAATGATTAAAAGTCTAGAAAACATGATCTATGAGGGAAGATTGAAAAAATTGGGTTTGTTTAGTCTGGAGAAGAGAAGACAGAGGGGACATGATAACAATTTTCAAGTACATAAAAGATTGTTACAGGAGGAGGGAGAAAAATTCTTCTTAACCTCTGAGGATAGGACAAGAAGCAATGGGCTTAAATTGCAGCAAGGGTGGTTTAGGTTAGACATTAGGAAAAACTTCCTGTCAGAGTGGTTAAACACTGGAATAAATTGCCTAGGGAGGTTGAGGGATCTCCAACATTGGGGATTTTTAAGAGCTGGTTGGATGAACACCTGTCAGGAATGGTCTAGATAATACTTAGTCCTGCCTTGAGTGCAGGGGACGGGACTAGATGACCCCTCGAGGTCCCTTCCAGTTCTATGATTCTATACATGCATCCTTACATCCCACAGAACAGGTGGTACATTCAAATTCTACTTGTGTTCAGCCACTGCTCCCCTCAACTGTCAGTGTGACGATGGTATCTTCAGAGTAGGGAAAATTAGTTACTTTGTAATTCTGGTCCTTTGAAGTTCTCTCGCAGAACTGTTATTCTCCACATAGACCACCACACCTGCCTCTTTTCAAAGTTTGGAGGTTTTTGCTTTTGAGGTCATGCATTTTTGCCTATATGAAAGTACATAAGTGAATGTTTCATCCTTTTACACCAAAAGGAACTGACAGCTGATAACACCAGTGGACTGTACCACTTGCACTACAGGATTGGAAAATTCGCCATGTGGGGATTAATGCACCTCACTATAACTCTTTAGCTGTGGGAGTTACCAGGCAATCTTGTAATCATGTAATGGATGCTGAGAGGATGGAATCTTTAAACTGTAATCTTTCACAGAAGTGTTTTGAAGATTAACTATTATTTTGTGCAGGGCTTATGAATCTTTATAAAAAAGTGCTAAGCATTATTATTTTATGAGTATTATTATTATTATTATAATATTAAGAGGCATGAGATGATACCGGATTTCATTTATTTTTCATGGTTGACAGATCTTTAATTTTTTACCACAAAATCATAATTAACAGGTTTTTCCACAGTGCAGTTTTTCAAATGAAAAGGGAAGTGATACAGATGAGCAGTAACTAACATTGACTACTGAGTCAACTTCAAATGCAATGGGAAGGAGAAAGGAGGACTTAAAAGAGAAGGGCGAAGGATCAGAAAGGGACATTCCATGCCAAAGTCCTAAAGGCTTTTATTTCTCAATAACAAACTACCAAAACAAAAACAAACAAACAAACAAAAAATTACAAAAAAAACCCAAAACAAAAAACAAACAAAAAAAACCCTCCAAAACATTTTACCCTAAATGGAACAGGCCATATCACGTTAAAACAAAAAACAATACTTTTATGTTCCTCTATGTTTCATTTGGTATGTCATAGCCATCTATGCCCAACATACGCATTACTTTAATTTTTAGACAAATATACATATACATTGAGTGAACTTAAAATTTCTCCTTTTAACAGTTGCTTTGTTCTGGTGATATAATTTCCCATTCCACATGTCAAATGACCGGAAGATTGCAGGTCTCACCAGAACTTAGTCCTCAGTCAAAAACACTGAACTTTTATCTCAGGCCTTGCTGGTTTGACTCCACGTGAAGGACTTGGTTCCCTCAGTGCATCCAACCACTGTCTAGGAGCACTCAGCCCTCTGATTCTGTGGACTAGTCTGTGCTAGCTCTAGCATACACCAATGAAGGATCGATAGAACACGGCTGCATCCTGCCTTTGGCAATTTCCCTATGTTAGGGTGAATGAAACCAGCGCTGCCAGCTGAAAGTTTCCTCCCGATGGTGTTTTTTCTCAGCTGGTCAGTCACTTTAAGAATCTGGTTCCTAAACTGAGTAGTGCCTAGGGGAGAGATTTAAATAGAAAATCTGGCCCAAAAGATTAATTAGCAGTCGGAAAAGAAATCTGCATGAAGTAAAATTTATTAAATAAAAGGTAGTATTTGAAACACTACCCCTAAAGAACCTAGTTTTATTACACTTCTAAAAAAAGAGACATACATTTTAAGTCAGAAAATAAAAATATATATTGCCAAAGAATAAAAAATTATAGGGACAGAGTAAGATAACAGAAAAGGGCTAATTTTTTTTAATTAAACGCCGAGAAATGAATAGGAGACAGAAAAAATTTAAAAACAGCTGAAGAGAAAAAGCCAAAGTATGTGTAGGAAAAATCAGCTAACTTCCTCTCTCTCTCATATAATGGCTTTATATAGAGAGACAGGATAAAGATAGATTCTTTTGGTGTATAAACTGTATCTTGTAATCCTGTTCCTTCTGTTAAAATTTTCTATATTCCTCTGACCATTTTAGAATTGTTTTGTACTGATGACAGTGGCCCACATTTTGTTCTACTACATGAACACAGTGAGTTAGCAACATCATTCTTTGTTCTCCATGTGTGAAGGGAAGGAGGTTGTAGCTGATCAGAAAGCATGATCTCTGTACCTAACACACAAAGTTCCATCTACAGTATTTATAAACTCAATAGTAAAACTGCTTTATGAATGCCACCTGTTTGTTGAATTACCTGTAGGGAATTACTCTGATTTCATGTTCATTATGAATTCCAGAAAAGGAAAGAATCATTTCACAAAACTTACTTTACCTGATTTTGTGATAATGGAGGGTCATGGTTAAATGTAAGCCCGGCTTTAATGAGAGAGGTTAACGCTTCTGCACCCCATTCTCTCATTCTGGAGTTTGGATGCTGGCAGACCTGAAGATACAGCATAGCCTTATTTAAAGCTACATTCATTTAAACCAAGAAGAGTTGTAAACTGTCACAATTCAAACTGGATATATAAACTACGTAGTGTTTTTAAAATAATGATGATAATCAAATATTAATTTACAAGAATAAGACAAACAGCTGAAATTTTGTATTTCACTATTTTTCCTGTATTTCTCAAAACAACCTGCTTCTGTCAATCAATTAGGTGGTAAGGTCCTCAAACGTTAAGACTAAGTTTAATAATGATTAAGGAAAACATTTGTAGGAAAAGCTTACCTTCTGAATAAGAAAACAAGAGGAAGCAACAGGGAGAGAGGCAGAAGTAAACAATGTGAAAATCAAGTCAGTTCAACAAAATATAGTTTCACAAATTAAATGAAAAGGCAATACATATCATTGCTAATTTAGATATTGGTAGCTTAAAAATGGTTTGACACAAAGAACCAAATTCTGCTCTAGAAGGTGTGCCTGTAACTCATTTTCATTTAACTTGGCCTTGAACTCTTGTGAAACATATCCAGGTTCACTATCTATTTTTTTAGTACAGCAAAAAATTTCCTTAATGTAACAGTACGGAAGTGACCAACAAAAGCCAGTGTGTATGTGTATACGTATGTCTGTGTTTGGTTTGTCGTACATAGAAATACACATTTAAATAAACCTAAAATTATTGTACAAATGTTAAGAAATATAATGTGAAGACGACACTCCATTCTTCTTTCAAACCCTTGAGAAAAAGATAGGTATAATGCCATAAATCGAAGAGACACTAAATTTTCACTGGCCTCTCAAAATTGACTTGCCTTTGTTTCTTGATGTAGCTGACATCAAGATTGCCCAATTCTACATTTTCATAAATCACTATTTGTAGTGCAGAGAAATTAAAACACTACAAATGCATACCATCTTCTGCAAAGCTGTGCAAACATACCATGAGCAGTTCTCTATGCTTTCATACTTGATATATCTGTGTCAATCTCAAGAAAAAACTGTTTTGAGCTTTCAGTGTCTTGTAAAGACAATGCTGCACCAACCCCTTCTCAGTGGGCATGGGGATGTATGAGACAGGTAATGCCTGTGTCAAAGGAAGATGGAGAAAGGGAAGGGCAGATTCAACTGTTCTGGGGATGGGATAGTGGGGAGTGGAGAAGTGTTGCCACCACCCTGTCTACCACTCACTAGTCAAGCTTGAAGGGTGGCTCTCATGCCCTTTACCCCCAGCTATCTGTAAAACATCCCAGGTAGAGCCTGGCGCAGATACACAAATGTGTATCTGCAGCCGATCCACAAACATTATCTGCGGATCTGTGGATTTGTAGGGCTCTACACTGGAGGCCAGGTTGAGGCTCCCAGGCATCCCCCTTGCCGGAGCTTGGTTGGGAGTCGTGGACCCTCCACCTGCCCTCGGCCAGGCGGGGAGCAAAGGGGGTGGGGATACGGCCGGGGGCTGCTCTCAGTGCTCCCCCCACTCCGTCAGGTGGAGGGTCTGCCACGGCTCCCCAGATGGGCTCCACATCAGCAGAAATGGTCCGCGGATATCCATGGATATAAAGCGGATACCCGCGGATTTTCAGGGCTCTAATCCCAGGCACACTGCTAGGATTGCTCCTGATCTCCCTGCCACATACCACTGAAGTATATGTTTTGCAGATGCTGGGTGGAAGGGGAAATCGGACCAAATTGCCAGTTTTGGGGATCAGGAAGGACTTTTTCCCCTCAGTGGAAGTCTGGCAGGGTGTCCACTATGTGTTATCCATCTTTCTCATAACATCACGGAGGCCCAATTTTAGGTGGTTAAGGATTAAGGCAGCACTTTAAAAGAATGTTTGTTTATAAGTGGAATTTGTCATTTCATTTCAAGTTGGGACTGGTGTTCCACATGGGCAAGAGCCTGTAATATATCAGCTGCTGAAGGAAAACATGAGTAAGAGACCCAGGAGATGGCTGATACACTGAGCTGACCTGTAGGAAAAAGGGTCTTTTGTCTTAAGTCTTTGCAGACTAAGGTACCCTCATTCTTCCTCACAGGGGAATATGAAAGACTCTGGAGATGAGCTGAATCCCAGGGATTACGCTGAAGAGGGCCAACCCAGAATAGTGATTATTGCTTTACTATGTCAGGGAAATGTGCTCAACTTCATTTTGAGAACATTAACTACCCAATACGCTACATGAATCCAGAATTAAACTTCCCTGAGGTGCAAGCAGTATATAAAAATGTTAAACTAATAATCATTTTGCTTTATCTTAACATGCTTAAAATATATAAAGGCAGATATTTAATACTGTAGAGAAAAAAATAAACAGTTCCAATAACACCTTTAAAGGTAAAGGAGATATACACCATTCTAGAAATAAGAAGTCAGACAAGCTAAAACTAAGATTGATCAAAAGTTACATTTAGAATATTGATGCTTCTTTTTACATTTTTAGTTAAGTCCTTGCAGAAAGATAGATCATAGAAAGATTTTACTAAGAGCTATATTTAGTAGTATTTATAAGACAAGACAAATCAGTTACCTCTAGGAGGTGACCAGTCAGAGGTCTCCACAGAATCTCAATCCTATGCATGTTAACCAGTCCCGTTTCCAACAGTTTAGCAACAGCAAAAAGAGATGGTTCCTAAGTAAAATGGAATTTAAACACATGATTAGAGATACCTAGTGTAATTTTAGAAATGTTCCCCTTCTTTAGGTTTCCTGGGAAGATTTTTCCATTCATTACAGTAATTGTATTTGACAACTTATGGAAGTCACAGACCTCACACTGCAGCTAAATGGGACTGGAAGGTTTCCACAGATGCAGCAACACTATGCTATTACCAGCCACAAGAGGATAGGAAAAGAGACAAACACTCCCTTTTGATAACAGTTTTTTCCTTTTTTTGATACACCGAGTTTGCTTGAGTAGCACGAGTATTAAAATCCCTCCCAAAGCTCTCTCTCTTGCATAATAATGTATTTTAATGCTATCCTTCCCAACAGAAAATCTGAACACACTTTACTAACAAAAGAATCTGATTCTGTTCCATCGTAACAGACTTAAATTAGAAATATATAAAAGCCAACAGTAGAGATTATTTTATCTAAATATTTAGCAAAGCTCGTATTACTGTTATCCTAGATTTAGGATCAAAGCTGTAAGTTCCTGAAGAGATGTAATCAATCTCCCATTCATTTGATCTGCGTACAAAACAATAGCATTTTATGCTCAACTATAAAAAAAATTATCACCACATAGTAAAATGGCTGCCACATTATAATTATGCTGCAGAGTGCACTTTACTATTTCCCCTTAACGTGAGGTTCCTTGTCCTCATTTTTAGTTAATATTAAATTCAAACTATTTTAACTCAATTTCCTTTCTTTGCATTTTGAAGTCCCCTCTCCCAGTTTTATAATTTTAGTACATAATAAACCAAAAATCATTTAATCATTTTTGTATTTACTTCTCTCCTGAAGACACTACCACCAAAGCAAGAGAACAAGCAACACACCACCCAATACCACACCCATCAAGGGAAATCCTCACCCCTAAAGCTCCTTAAATATCTCTGCGGGGTAGCGGGCTCAGAAAGTCGTTCCACTTCTCTCCCCAGGACTCCCACGTAGTGATGTGCTTTTTTTGTTTTAAACCAAAATTGTCAAACTAGTTTTAAAGCATTTTAGAAGATATTGGTTGAAATGGAACATTTTAATATATCCCAAAGCATACCGTGTCATTCCACAACATCCTAGCTTTCTGAAATCTACAAAGCTTTTAAAAACTCATCCATCTACAACCTGATTATTAATGGAAATGTTCGACATTGCTTAGTTAATGTTAGAAAACATGATAAAAATACTACACAAGTGTTCAGAGAAGATTTAGTAGCACTGCCAATCATTAAGAACCAGAAAATTCCTTAATGTGCTAATTTTATGCTCATATCATATGTAGCATTAGCTTATTTTGATATTAAAAAACACTAATCTAGCTTAACAACAAACATGAGTCTGATCCCTATCTTACAAATACATATCTGAAAAGTAATAACCAAGTGTTCTATACCTTGTTATTTCCATAGGCCATTTCCATAGCTTCCAGAGACAAGGAACAAAGGGCATTTATTAAATGATGTAAAGACACGTCATCAAGGTACCTGAAAAATACCAGCTATCAAAACACTGTCACTGCTGATACAAACAAATACTTAGATCATAAGAAGATGTGTCTTACTGTGAGCTTTCAAATAGTCTTGAAAGTATATTGGATATAACTGGTAAATCAGTCATAACTGCTGTAGTTAGAACCTAAGGGACAGAAAAATGTATTTTGTAGATTGCAAGAGAAAGTATTGCACAATCATTATATTACAGAATGAACAATTATGCTTACTGTGCTGGGTCCTTCTACAGCTCTCCCGGGTTTTAAGGCACCTCCAACGCCAGGCTTTAAACCCAGAATCCATACGAGATGCTGAAATATAAAAGGATGAATTTCTAACTGAACTATACAGATCAATGAATATAAAATACTATATTTGTATTTTTGGAGATATCTGATCTCTAAATATTTTTCTGAGTTCCATGAGAAAAGCCTCATCAGTTTGTGAGAAGAAGCTAACACTTCTACTCTTTTAGGGCTGGTCCACACTAAGCCCCCAGTTCGAACTAAGATACGCAACTTCAAGCTGAAGTCGAAGTACCTTAGTTCGAACTTAAAGGTACTTACCGCAGGTCCACACGCGGCAGGCAGGCTCCCCCGTCGACTCCGTCTACTCCTCTCGCGGAGCAGGATTACCGGCGTCGATGGCGAGCACTTCCGGGATAGATTTATCGCGTCTAGACAAGACGTGATAAGTCGATCCCAGAAGATCGACTGCTTGCCGCCGAACCAGTGGGTAAGTATAGACGTACCCTTAGAGAACAATCAGCCTGCACCTGCTCTCTCAGGCAGATACAAACGAAGTTCAGAGGACAGTGCTAGAGCACTTCTTTATGAACATTAGAACATATAATGAGTAAAATACAATTTAAGCGTATGTTGCCGTGTTCAAATCAACAATGCCCACATCTTAGAAATCATAACCCACCCCGAATTATAACAACAAACAAATCAAAAAGCAATACATGCATTACCTACACCATACCTGTAGAGTAGCCAAGACAAGTTGCCATGATGTACCAAGAACTGCTCCATGGCAGTGAGCCAAGTTAAGTAATGTCCTCATACATTGGATATTTTTTGAAGTCAGCTAGACAGAACATGTTACATTGTTATATTTATGTATTATGAGAAATCAGTGGCATTCCTAGTAAAATCACTAATCTTAAAAAATATTTAATGATATATTAAATAAAAAACCTGCACTTATGTGATGCATCCATACCAGGGAAGTAACTCAACAGCTTTCAACAACTGGTCCCCCATTCCCAATTGAATAAGGGTTGGGAATAGCTTGACAGTGTAAACAGAGTCAAATTATTTTCAATTTTATTTCCAGAAATTAGACACTTTGTTTCTCCAGATGTCTGACATTAAAAAAAAAAAAGGGATGTTCAATCATATGACCCTGTCTACCTTAACCGTTTTTAAACCATAGTTGAGGGGGACAAAGGGTACCCATTACTGACATTCATAGTCATGATAATGGGTCATTCAAGTGCACAAAGAGCCACAGTGGCCACCTCTTACATGATAACAGATCTTTCATGTCCACAGGTTCTCCCAGCTATGAAAAAATTAGGAGGCTACTTTAAGTAAATGGGCCTCTTGCTACAATAAAAGATTATCCATTATCTCTGCTACAAGTAAATACACAAGAGAGTTCCAGCTAGTCATAGTGAGTAGGTTCAGTTCATTGTAGTAGTAAGGAATCACATAGGAAGGAAGGGATTGAGAGAGAATCAGATACAGAAAAAGAAAGCAATTCAACAGAAAAAAGTTACTTAGAAATTGTACTTTACCATTACTGTTCCCTGTGGCTGGAGAGCTAGCGGTTGCCCTACTGCTACAACTTGCTGGTGAGACTCACTTGATGGACTGATCATCTGAACATTCTGCCCCTGAATAGAATAAGCTAGAGAACAAAGAAAAATCCTCATGTAAAATGCAGTAAATATTCTATTAACTTGGCTGCAAACACATAAGTAGTAACTTTACTCACGAGTGGTCCCATTGAGAACTTTGCAGGACTGAGCCCATAGATTATATTTATAGCAGTGTCATTATGTCACTTTATTTTATAGGTAAAAATAGTCTCTCACTTACATTTATTATTGCACAGGACTTGTAGCATAACAGATACTCATTTTGAAAGGGAAACCATCAACTTAAAAGGACCTTATACAATCTGTACCTAACTATTGTTAAAAGTAAATAAAGGCTACTCATCAGTAACCAGTGTTTGAGATGGACTCTGCACATTCCCACTCTTTGGATGTGCCAACACCGCAGCCTAGACAGTTTAAATGCATAAGAGTGGAAATGTGCAAAAGCCATTCAAAGAACACTACCCAAAATTATTATTAGAAAGGGAAGAGATTAGAAAAAGGGATTTTGCTCTATTTTTTCCACTTTGTTTACTTTGCGCATACTCAGTTGCTCTATTTCTTCTGTATAGTTCTTAGTCAGTCACCTTCCCTTGAATGTGTGGCTTTTCCACACACAAAACGAGAAACATTTGAAAAACAAGAAAGGATTATAAAACCACTGAACTCAGAGAGGGACTCTGGAGGTTAGTACCAGAAATTATTTTAATTTTTTCTTTAAACTGACTGGGACTTCAGGTTGATAATTCCTTTTAAATACCAGTTCATGTGAGAATGACAAACCACATGTCCTCCTTTAGTTTTATCTGCACTGGAGGATTTTGATATTGTAAACACCATAATAAGCCATTTGTCATGCTTGCAATATACTTCATACCCACACTCAAAATGTTTCTAATGGAGCACAAGCATTGCCAATGCTGTCAAAACTGCATTCTCTCTGTGTAAGGCTCATTGTGGTTACCATGCATTGAGTCACTCTGCACCACTGTAGCTTGTGTATTCAAAGTGAAAATATTGAAGCTGCACTAGGCCTCCCCAGTACAGTGCTAGCGTCATAGAGTGACTGATCCCTTTAAGAGAAAGCAGGGCCAGTGCACCAATGATTGATTAGCTGCCTCCCAACTGGGGTTAAAAGGTGGCACATGGGCCATATAAGGGGAAGAGAAAGAAGGGCAGGTGAGAGCTGCCCAATAGTACAGACTGAAAGAGCAAGGAAAGGGACAGGTGACAGCTGCCTGGAAGGAGAAAGGAAAGGTGGAAGTGACAGCTGGCACAGGCAGGAACTCTGAAGAGAGCAAAAAGCTCTGCAGGCCCTCCCTGGGAATAGGGAGGGATTTGGTAGGAAACTAACAGAGTTGCTAGCCTGCTGACCCAGATAGCCAGTACCAGGAGGTTGGAAAGGGTTGAGTCATTGGACTGTGTTTTGGGTAGAAGAATCATAAGACTGGTTACTTTTAGGTTGACAGCCAGGAGAGTGGGGCCTTGGTGCAAGGGCAGAAAGGAACTGGAAACTAAGTGCTGGTGGACTCACGGGTGGGTGACTCACCTGGAAGTGATGTCCCTGGAAAAGGAAATGGAAAATCACTGTGTTTTACTGTGGGAATTCGAAGAATGGTTTTACTATGAGGATTATATGAACTACTGTACATGTATTTGAATAATTTATGCCCAGATGCAGGACTCTGGACTGGACAGTGAAAGAGACTGAGCTTTTTTTCATAGCTGGACTGGGGAAACAGACAGGTGCACCTATTGTGCTGCAGCCTGCCATAGGAGGGCACCTCAGTCTGTCCCATTACAGCCATAAAGATAATTAGTCCCTTTCTGCAACCAACCTGTGCAAAGACTATTGTACTCCTCACCACTTTGTTTTTAGCTTCTGCAGCTTCCTAAATTTAATTCATGCAGTAGACAAAATGCAATACATTCAATCTTCTTTAAAGAATATTTAATATTAAGCCAAATTAAAAATATTTTAATGCAATAACAATGCCATTTCATTTTACAAAATATTTCATACACTGAAAAATTCTAATTGATACTGTTCACGTTCTTATAAAAATTGGTACGGTGCCTTCTAACTGTAGATTGCTACCCCCAGAAGCTCCTTCTTTGAGACCTGTACCGAGAACTATGGGCTAGGCAACTACAATACTGCATCTGCAAACTATGCAGCGATGCACTCAAAACACCAGAGCAAATATGGATGCAATGCACCATTATAAATTACAATGATTGAGTGGAACCATTACAAGTTGCAATGGTGCAAATCTCCAGGTTAGACAAGGCTTCTCTCCTTATCCTATAAGTAAGGCTGCGAGTTTGTCACGGAGGTCACAGAAAGTCATGGATTCTGTGACTTTCCATGACCTCTGTGACTTCTGCACCGGCCACTGCTGGGGCTGTCTTGGGCCACCATGCCCCCCTCCCCGAGCAGCAGAGTTTGGGTGTGTGAAGGGGTAGGGGGTTGGGACCTGGGATGGGGTGAGGCAGGCTCTGGGCGGCACTTAGCTGGAGGGCTCCCTGGAAGTGGCAACATCACCCTCACTCGCTAGGCAGAGGCATGGCCATGCAGCTCTGCACACTGCTCCGCCTGCAGGAACCGCCCCCACAGCTCCCATTGGCCGTGGTTCCCGGCCAATGGGAGCTGCAAAGCCAGCACTCTGGGCGGAGACAGTGCGCCAAGGGACTCTGCTGGCCTCGCCAACTCCCCCTCAGCACCAGCAGGGATCCCGGGCCACACGCCGCTGTCTGCCCTCCCACCCCAGTACCAGGCCGCCCTCCCCCAACACCTGCAGCACCCCCGGGCAGTCCCCACAACCCAAATTTTGGTCAGGGGTATATAGTAAAAGTCATGGACAGGTCACGGACTGTGAATTTTTGTTAACTGCCCGTGACCTGTCCGTGACTTTTACTAAAAATTCCCATGACTAAAACATAGCCCTACCTATAAGTATATGATAGTCATAATATGACAAGGCAGCTAATGGTCCCAATTGCAACATAGGCCAGATCATCCTCTCCTATGGAAAACCTCACGAAGGAAAGAGGAAAGGAAAAATCAGAGTTTTCCCAGATCATTCCAAATGGGGGTGTGTATATTTCTGCTTTTGTCCCCCAAGAAACATCAGTGGCTTCTTTCCTAGAAGCCATACACCTCATGGGATCTAACACAGACACAGTGCCATCAACACAAGTACCCTGTACTTCCACATTGGTTCTGAAGGCTTCTTCCCCCACTAGTTGCCCAACAGGTGTGAGCTATATTTAAGACATGCTGTTAGGACTCCCCAGTCTGTAAATGTGTCTAGAAAACTCTTCGTAAGGAGAGAGACTATAGTGCAAAGTGCAGGGATCTGTAGGAAAGCTTAAAACAGCTTTAGCCTTTAACAATTTACGAGTAGATTTTGCATTGTAGGTGGAGGGATTATACTACCTGTATCTCCTCCTACCCCTGGCCTATCGCCTGTTCATGCAAGGGCCCTCAACCTTGAGGCATTCCCTGGTGGGATCGAAGGATAGCAGGGGAGAGTAGTGTTGCCGTGGCAGCTATACCCAACTTCCATGAAGGTAGGAGAGAGTCCCTTCCACTCACAGATGTAGTAAATATAATCCAACCCATGGAGTTACAAAAAATATGAGTACTATAACAGGTTATTTTGGACATATTTTTGTGCTCTGTAAACTTTTCTGCAAAGAATAAATAAAATCTTTTAGTAATTTTTTTAAATGTAATTTTAAAAAAATAGATATTCTCAGAATACAATGGATGAGGCATAAGAGCCATTATATCTAGAATGCATCAATACCTGAAATATCACTTGCACATCACTTTTTTTTTTAAACCAAAAACAGTTTTCTTTTTCAAAGTTTACAGTGGATAAATAAAGCAAATCCCCAGTCATGCAAAGTGTTGCACATGGGCAGGTTCCAGCACGTGCACAGTGGGGCCACAGTCACGAGTATCAATTTGAAGTATCAGCTTTTTCAGTTTTACATACCAGATTGCCAAACATTTTATGCCAGCAGATACTAAAAACTTACATATGTTTACAGTCATGTCATGAAAAAGAAAAGTACTCCAAGTTTATCATTGTGGCTTGAGGTTATTTTTTACATTAAGCATAGGTTAACGTAGTGTGTGAAATAAGATTAAATAAACAAATGAGTATACAATTTAGCCTTAATTATACCCTTACATTTGCTGGAGAGAGTTGTAGTTGTGCTGTTCAGTACAGTGAGGGCATAATGAGGAGGCAAGGAGCCTTTGCAAATGGCAGTGATAAAGGCATCTCTTGAAGTTACGAGACCCAGTTTTCCACAAAGTGCAGCCATGGTCAATTCTGCTTTTAAAATATTTTCTGTGGCAGCTTCATCCGTGCTGAAAAAAGTACAAAGCGTTTAATAGAGACAAGTCAGATAGTCATTATATAGAAATAAGCAGCTGGTTAGAAGTATGATGGTAAAAGCCAGCAATAATTCATATACAATACTGTCAATACTGAAAATGTCAAAGCGCAAATTTAACCAATTAAAAAAACATTTTGGAACTCTAATTCTTATTACATAGCTCTTCTATTCTGAATGATTTAGCATAAGGAGTGTAGAGTGGATGTGTAATTTTTTTAAATTAGCTTTCTACCATCAGAAGAATGTTTATGAGGAGTCAAGAGGGTTTTTGGAAGAAAAATATCTAATTAAAAATATTGCAAAACCATAGCTACTAGTAAATAAATCCCTCAATGGAAGCAATCACGGCTTTTATCCTTTAAGTGGTATCATTTCACCGTACTGAAAGATTCCAGCTGCTAGTGTAAAAATGATTAAATAAGTAATTAAAACTTAAATCTTCAAAAATTTATTTTAATTGGGTCCCGATTTGAAGTCATACCAAGAGGTGTGTATGAATGTAAATAATATAAAGATCCCATCCTTTTAATATTTACAAGTCAAACATTTTTCTGTGAAATCTGGATACAAGGTGGTTCTCACTAGACTTTTAACCACATTTTTAGGAGTTTACCCAAGAGGAAGCTCAGAACATAAAAACGTCCATTTGAGGTCAAACCAATAATCCATTTAGCCCAGTCTCCTGTCTTCAAACAGTGGCCAATGCCAGATGCTACAGAGGGAATGAACAGAAAAGAGCAACTATTGAATGATCCATCCCCTGTCGTCCGCTCCCAGCTTCTGGCACTTAGAGACTTAGGATACCCAGAGCATGGGGTTGCATCCCTAACCATCTTGACTAATAGCAACTGATGGACCTATCCTCCATGAACTTATCTGTTTTTATAACCCAGTTATAGTGGGAGCAAAAGGTTTAAATTTTAAGATGTATAAATTTTTTACTGAAAAAGATGTTAAGAAAACAACCCAGAAAAAAAAATTGGAAGACACATTGGTACAAAGACACTGATCAGGATGGGAGGGTCTCTATAACTGAAAGGGAATATTCATCTTCAATTTGTCTAGCGCCTGATTTTTTTTTTTTAATATAAATTAGTTTATAGATGGCATTTAACTCTAGGTAAAATCCATCTTATTTTTGCTACTAGGGAAGCACTCTTTTGGAGTGTTTGAGGGGAAAGGGGAACATACTTGCACATGTGGTGGTTGTGTCCAGGAATTTGAGTTTGGGTAGGAAGCTTTTAAATAGTTTCATCTTATGACAAAATGCCAGCTTCCTAGAGATCCCCTCATTTGCTCACTTAATGCTCCAGTAAAGGATACACATTTTAAACAGAATGACAATTTTTTTTTTTTTATTGTTAGCAGCTACAGGAGTGATCCCCGACGCCTATGGAATTGTGGTCTAGTAAAATTTGGACTGTCCTTGTAATGGAAAAGCTTTCACACCAAGTATGTACACAAGAGAAGCCCCAAAAAGAGAATAGGTATTCAGAAATTTGGTCACTCATTTTAGCGAGAATAGAGTGCTCCAGCCATCAGGCCAGAATCTTCAGCCAGTATCTTTGAATATTAACCTGATCCTGATTAAGTTATAAGTAACATACAATATAGTATGTTAAAGTTTTATTGTAACTTGGCCTTAATGAAAAGTTGTAAAAAAAAAATAATAATAATAATTTCTCTGATAAAATGATTTCTCATTCCAGATAGAACTAGGGCTTATGTTAGATTTTTGGGGATCATCAGGAAGATTATTCCTGCAAGGTCAGACTGTTCTTCCTTAAATCACAATCACCACCACAAATCATTCATTCCCCATTTCTTGTGAACAGCTTCTTCCCCCATACCAGCCAACTAGACAGGTTCCAAAAAAAATCAGTTTTGGACAGAATTGTGAACGTAACCTATGAAGGATCAGCAAAAATTAACACAGAGTGAGTACCTGGCATCAAGAAGCAGCGACAGTGCAGCAAGAAGACCACACCAGCACGCATTCACCATTTCTTCCCAAACAGCTCTGTTAACTTAAAAGAAAAAGATTTTATAGTGCTAATAGATACTGGAAGTTTATTAAATAACTGTTAGATTTTTTTTAGGTTAGTAATGTATAGGCCAAAATTATTTTTATATTCCCCTAAACAAAAAAGTAGTTACATCTGAGAGAAGATTGCTGAAGTGAAAATATCACTATGCAATCATTAAAAATTAAGGAAAACTGCCAGTTAAGTCATCAGTCATTGCTCTCTGACTCCTTATCTTTTTAACAAATTCCCTTGCATTTTCAATCTATAACTAAGGCTAGGATTCTGTCATGGAGGTCACGGAACCCATGACTTTCATTGAACTCCATGACTTTTTTGCGTGGCGGCTGGAGCTCCGAGCTGTGGCGGGGGGACCCAGCACAGCTGTCCAGCCACGGTCAGCGGCCCCCCTGCATCTGCCCAGCCGCAGCGGGCAGCCAGCGGACCCCCTGCATCTGCCCAGTCGATGGACTTGAACATTATCCATGTTGGTTTTTTTCCCCATCCTGCCCCAACCTTTGGCATGTCACGAAGGTGTCATGTATTCCTGTGGAGCCATGGCAGCAGCACCATGGAGAGCTCTGGATTTGTTGAAGCCCTGGCCCATCCTGACGATATGCCCATCATTCCCATAGCTGGGAAACCAGTACCGAGTGTTGACGCCTTAGCATGGAGGCATTCTGCTCCCTGCAGCATTACTGCCTCAGCTTCCTGGCATACTAGGCAGCAATACGAGCAACAAGAATGATTAAAGGTCTTGAGAACTTGACCTATGAAGGAAGGCTGAAAGAATTGGGTTTGTTTAGTTTGGAAAAGAGAAGACTGAGAGGGGACATGATAGCAGTTTTCAGGTATTTAAAAGGGTGTCATAAGGAGGAGGGAGAAAACTTGTTCACCTTAGCCTCTAAGAATAGAACCAGAAGCAATGGGTTTAAACTGCAACAAGGGAGGTCTAGGTTGGACATTAGGAAAAAGTTCCTAACTGTCAGGGTGGTTAAACACTGGAATAAATTGCCTAGGGAGGTTGTGGAATCTCCATCTCTGGAGATATTTAAGAATAGGTTAGATAAATGTCTATCAGGGATGGTCTAGACAGTATTTGGTCCTGCCATGCGGGCAGGGGACTGGACTCGATGACCTCTCGAGGTCCCTTCCAGTCCTAGAATCTATGAATCCCATCGGAGCCCAGTCTTTCTGTGCCCAGGGAGTGGGCACACCACCACTCCTTGCACCAATCAGCTCCCTGCATCATTGCTGTTTCTGCCTCTTCCCCTATGTTTCTAATTAGCCTCCCTTTCCACCTCCCTACTCATAGCCCCATTTAACTTTTGTTTCTCCAGAACCTCCATCTTGTCCTCTGCAGCCAGAGACCTCCTTCTCCAAGCCATATATCCTACCATCCCAATATCGGTATTGACCAGGATGTCTCCCTGACCTTCCAGGGTTTCTGTGCTATGCCGGGTTGAGGATTCAGGGAGGCAGCAGGTAGTACTGGAGAACAGAACTAACTAGTAGAACTTTTTCTATTGCCTTTTTCCTGCACAGATAAAATAGTGTATAGCAAAAAAGGAAAATAACTTAAAATTGAAAAAGTGGGTTATTTCTGAGATGTTGTAAGCGTGAAACAGTGTCTGAGAGTGAATGCACAGAAGTCAAGAGTTTCTAGAGACTGGCCATTCAGCTACAGAAACTCAAATATTCTCGGAAAAAATTTCAAAAAGAGATTTTCAAAAGCGTGTTCTGTCAAAGTTATGAAAAATGTGACCAAAATTTAAATTCATTTGTCCCAAGAAAAAGTTAGTATATAAAACTTAGAAACTAAATTAAAATAAAGTATGGAAGAGAGGATTTTGCTCCTCTGCTTTAAATGTAAATCTGCAAGCAATCTTTATTATGGAGCTGCTAGGATGCTTCTATAAAACTCCATTTAAGACTTCTAAAGTAAATTGAATGTATCTAAAAATTCAAGGCATTTAATCATGAGATTTTATTTCTCTTGTGTTGTACTTAACATAGTATCTGCATTTTTGTATACCTAGCTCCTTGTCAGTTTGGTCAGATACTGACTGCAAATCTTGCTGCTCCGAAGACTGTGTTGGTGATGAAGTTGCCTCAGTCATGGTCTGATTGTCTGTTCCAGCCTGTCCCAACTCTCCTTCAATCATGGTAGTGATACCACGGACAAGATCCAATAAACAGTGGAAAGCCACAGACATGGCATAACCTTCAGGAATTGTAGGTGGCTCTACTTTATCCAGCATTTCTAGGCTGAAAGATTAAAAACATTACAAAAATATTTAACAGCAATACTGATGAAGTAATTGAATGAACAATAATGAAAATCTGATCAAATAAATTGACAATACTCCCACTACCCACTATTAAATTATCAAGCGGTGACGTGGTAATATCCTAAGTGGATATTAACGAGGTACAAAAAAAGATTCTTACACCAAATACACCCAAAACTAATTAAAATATGACTAAATATAAAGCTACTACAATACTGAGACTATTTTATATCTATGTCAATGAATCTTTGTGTTAGTGAAATTTGCTTAAATATTTGACCAATTTCTGAATGAATCACTTCATTTTTATTCTTATTGTATTAACTCAAAACTAATCACAGTACCATAAATGTATCACTTACAGATTTAAGGAATTTAAACAAGGGCAAAGTATTAATTCAGAAAACCACCAGAAAATAAACAAATTACAAAAAGTAAGATTATGTCATGTGGACGTCACTGCTTGTCTGTTCCTATGAAGAGTTATTGCCCAGGCCCACCACAGTTGGAGGGTAACCAAATATTTCTCATCCCTCCCTGAGCCATTTGTGTCAGACAACTCTAGCCGATGCAGCCATAGAAGAAGAGGTAGAGGTAGAATAGGAATCACTTACAGAGGTTGCAACTGACTGATAAGCAAGAGATCTGGATTAGACCCCAGTGCCTGCAATCCATCAAAACAGATAATCGGTCTCTGGCTAAACTATAATATTGAATTTGATTGGATGTTGCAAGCATAAAACAGAGTGCGCGAGTGCATGCACACAAGCTCCATTTAAGGCTTCTAAAGTACATTGAATGTATCTAAAAATTCAAGACATTTAATCATGAGATTTTATTTCTCTTGTGTTGTACTTAACATAGTATCTGCATTTTTGTATACCTAGCTCCTTGTCAGTTTGGTCGGATACTGACTGCAAATCTTGCTGCTCTGAAGACTGTGTTGGTGAAGAAAATCCTCTTTTGGGATTTACTGTACAAAGTTCATGATTACATTTTTCACTGTTGGATATCATGTGACCAAAACATCAATATTTATTTGACAGTTGCAGCCTCATTGCCTCTCCTTCCTCTTGCTATTCCCCTGCTGCCTCAAATCCAGCACAGAGCTGGTCAGCACAGTCGGAAAAGAGAGCAGGGAGCAAAGGGCGGTGGCAGTAGTAAAGCCAGCACAAGGAGAGAGAGTGCTGCGCCAGAAACTACCCGCTGCCCCCAACAACCACCACCTGATACCTCAGGCAGCTCTCCATTCAACTGTCCTAATTTATCCAGCTGCACCAGGCCTCTTCACCAACCCCATTACATAAGTCATTATTACTCTAGCCCACCATCCAGATATACCACCGCCCTGCACCATCCACTACTCCTCCTCTTACCCAGATGCCCCAGCTATTCCCTTTAGCATCCTCCCTGAAGATAGGGAACTTGGGTATGCATACTAAGAGGGATCCCCCATAACTTGCTTCTGGGAAGCACAAATGGGAAAGACTGCCTTCTATTCCCATCCCCCACCTGCTTTCACCTGCTCAGGGTTAGGCAGATCAGTCACTTGTTCTCCATCTATGAGAAAAATTATAGAAGGGACTTGAGAGGCTGAAAACAAAATAGAAACTTGGTCTGATTACCCCAAAAGCAAGAAAGGAGAGAGAGTGTATTTGTATGTTGGCCCAGTTTGGCATTCAACATTTAATGAGGCCATGGCTTGAGCACAGCTGACTGGCAAAGTAATCACAGGGGCAACATCAGAGACCAGCAGGAGGATATGACCTACTCAAAGCCGTCAGATATTATGGTGGAGAGCTTAAGGATCCTGCTTAGCCAGAACTGCCTATGACAAGGCTTAAACAACTAGGCAGCCTATCCAGAAAATTAGGCTGATTAGCAGTAGCAATACATGCCTACCAACTGTCCTGTAACAGGATACTGTCTCACACAACATTCTCATAAGCAAACTAGGGAAACACAGTCTAGACAAGCCTACTATAAATGGGCGCACAACTAGATGGAAAATTATACTCAGAGTAGTTATCAATGGTTCACAGCCAGCTGGAGAGACATATCAAGTGGGGTCCCAAAGGGATTGGCCTGGAGTCAGGTTCTACTTAATATCTTCATAAATGGTTTGGATAATGGCATAAAGTGTACACTCAAAGTCTGTGGATGATACCAAGCTAGGAAGGGTTGGAAGAGCTTTTGAAGGACAGGATTAGAATTCAAAATGATCTTGATAAGTTGGAAAAATGGTCTGAAATAAATAGGGTGAAACTGAGTAAGGACAAATGCAAAGTACTGTACTACACACTGAGGAAGGAATAATCAACTGCACAAATACAAAATGGGAAATGATTGCCTAGGAAAGAATACTGTAGAAAAGGATCTGGAAGTTATAGTGGACACAAATTAAATGAGGCAACAATGTAATACTGTTGGGAAAACAAACTGAACATCATTCTGGGATGTACACCTCTACCGCAATATAACGCGACCCGATATAACATGAATTCGGATATAATGCGGTAAAGCAGTGCTCCGGGAGGGGCAGGGCTGCACACTCCGGTGGATCAAAGCAAGTTCAATATAACACGGTTTCACCTATAACACGGTAAGATTTTTTGGCTCCCGAGGACAGCGTTATATCGGGGTAAAGATGTATTAGCACGAGTGTTGTAAGCAAAACACAAGTAGTAATTCTTCCATTCTCCTCAGCTCTGATAAGGCCTCAACTGCAGTACTGTGTCCAGTTCTGGGCACCACACTTCGGGAAAGATGTGGACAAATTCAAGAAAGTCCAGAGGAGAGCAACAAAAATGATTAAAGGTCTAGAAAACATGACCTATAAGAAACGATTTAAAAAAAAACTGGTTTGTTTAGTCTGGAGAAGAGAAAACTGACTGGGAACATAACAGTCACATAAAAGGTTGTCCACTGAGGACAGGACAAGAAACAATGGGCTTAAATTGTACCAAGGGAGATCTAGTTTAGACATTAGGAAAAACTTCCTAACTGTAAGGGTAGTTAAGCACTGAAACAAATTACCTAAGAAAGTTAAGGAATCTCCATCAGAGGAGGTTTTCAGTAACATGTTAGACAAGGACCGGTCAGGAATGGTCTAGAAGAGGGGTGGCCCAACTGGCATGCAAGCGGGGTGGTGCAGTAGGGGCTTCTCCCCAGCAGGGTGAGGCGGGGTCTTGGGGCTGCTGCCCAGCAGTATGATGGGGTCTTGGGGCTTCAGCAGGAGTGGGGTTGAAGCCCCAACCCCCAGCTCCCAGCAGGTGTGCCCCGGCTCTCCAACTTCTGAAGATTGTCATATGTGGCTCAGAGGGCTAGTAACTTTGTCCACCCCTAGTCTAGATAATACTTAATCCTGCCTCAGTCCAGAGGACTGAACTAGATGACCTATCAAGGTCCCTTCCAGTTCTACATTTCTACAGGCTGGTTTAATAAAGTTATGGCCTTCTCTTCTATTACAAATATTTGCTTCGTCATTAGCAGCTGATCAGATGGCAAAACACTAATCTGTAGAAGGCTGTAACGTCGGGGGGGGGGGGGGGAATGTCTTTAAATCACAATGTATTCAAACAGAAAAATAATCTCACCTTACAAGCCTTTTTTTTTAAATAAATTTTCTAATCACTTAGCTGTTTATAAGAAAGTTTACAAGTCAACTAGTATAAGTTAATAAAAAATACAGCAAACAGAATGAAAATAATATTTGCACTAGTATTGTTAATTATCCACGGACATTTTAAATGAAAGAGCAATTTTTTTTTAAAGTAACAGATTCCATGCCTAATATACAGCTTCAAATAACTTTTCTGTGGCTTTACATAGAAGAGCCTGGGTTGCAGATTAAAACATGAATGGTTGAACTTCAATACTCAAGAACAAGGACACTCAGATTTATCATATTACACCTTGGTACTACAGCAGATGTATCTTTATATAATAGGGTCGATAAAATGTAATTTTAATTTAATTTAATTTTTAAAATTAAAAATCAATTTTTTTAAAGTTTAAATCATGATTTTTATTTCTCTCTCCACTTTAGAGATAAACTCCTAGCATTGATATTTTGTACTAATTTAATTAATTTCCTAATTGTCAGTAGACTTTCAGATTTTACAAAGAGGTGTGTTTTTTGTTTAAGAAATGTCACACTTAAAATAGTGAAATGCTCTGACCAGGCTACATTCATCCATCAGGGGTTTCAGTATGAAGTCAATGAAACTTGTGCACCTAAATCACAGGCTCCTGTTTTTGGAAATTTTGACTTGTGCTGTATAAAAAAGGTCACAATGACTTTGTTAATGTATTTAAAGTCTGAATAACTTTTCATGTTAACACTAAAGCAGTTTTGTTTTGAAATGACAAAGATTTTATGCAACTAAGAAAAGTGTAATAAAAATACAGGTTTAGCCCCTTACGCTGAAAATATTTATGTGCACATCAGTTTAAAAAAAATAAATAGTTCCACTGAAGTCAAAGGGAATATTCATGAGAGTGAAGTTATACCTGTTGAAATGTTTGTAGAATTTGGGCCTTAATTTTCAATATTTTGTGTTTTGCCTATAGTAGTTTTCAAATAAGATCCCCTATCCGTAGTGACATTTAGAACACAGCATTTATAATTTAGTTCATTATAAATCTTAATCTAAAGTTGGAATATCACAAACTTTCAAATTAGTTAAACAACGCCTCAACCTAATTTAATTCAATGTTTTTTTTAAATTCAGTGATTTAAATAATTTAATCATCTTGATTTAAATCACTCTGCCTGCCTTGTTATATACAGCACAAGCGGTGTACATGGAACTTTATAGGAAAGAAAGTCCCTGCTTCAAAGAGTTTAAAAATTTAAGTCTGAATGATAATCACACAGAGAATTAGACAGTGGATGTGAGAGATAACAAGAGGGGAAAAAAGAAAAAAGGATGAACTGCTCTAGAGGAAACATTACTTACATCAGTCTGAATTTTTGCAACGTTTTGATGATGGGTTTATTTTCTGGGGTAAAACTGTTAATTTTGTTTTAATTAATAAAATATAAAATTAGGTATGAGATGGACCAGAATGCTCTGGAGAGGGGTTTAAGGATGGAAGATGAGCAGAGAAAGGTAAGTTTTGAAGGATTTGAAAAAGGAGAGAAAAGGGTACCTGGAAAAAAGGAAAGATGAGATTGATGTTAAAGTAGAGGACAGTGTAAAAGGAGGTACAATCTCATGTAGGAGGAGACAAAATGAGTGGGATCAGGCTAGGAGACTGGGCAGCAAGTCAGATTAAGGCACAGGCATATATCTATGACCCCATCGCCTAAACTCACATGATGAAAACAAAAATCTTTTTTTTTTTTTTACAATTCTATTTTGAGCCCTCATCTATCTAGACACTTATGTGACTCATTATAGTAGTATCTGAGTGCCTCACAGTCATTAATTTTATCCTCAACACACCTGTGAGGTAAGGAAGACGTATCCTCCTTTTACAGATAGGTAACTGAAGCACAGGGTAGATTAAGTGACTTGCCCAAGATCACACTGGAGGTTTGTGGCTGAGCCAGGACTTGGTCTCAAGTCTCCTGAGTCACAGTTCTATACACTAGCCACTAAACATACTTCCTATTTCATGACTGCAAATAAATAATATTCTGAAAATGCAAATTACATGTAAATGATGTTTGCCTGAACCTGCCGAGAACTATTATCTTAAATGGGGTGTCAACTCAAACCCACTGCTCTGGAGGGCCCTTGACTCCATCCCGACAGGGATATCTGCCATGTGGCTGGGGCCCTGGCCCTCCCTGCAATCACCCTATCATGGCTCTGCTGGGGTGTTTACAGAAGTACACACAGACAAGGGTGAATGGTAGCTGAGTCCTCCCACCCCCTAGACAGACTTCATACACTTGAAGACGAGGAATATGTGGAGAGAGACACTAGAGACTTCCATTACCCGAAACGATGGCTTATGTAGGTGATCCTTATCACTCCCACCCCAAAGTGGAGCACAGCCATAGTTTGGGAGCGTAGCTGCAGCAAAGAGACAAGGACTAGGGTCCACATTCCCATATGAGTCTCTCTCTACAATCCTGGATTTCCTTAATCTGGTTCTAGAGTATAAGCAGGGGAATAGAAGATCACAGCTGATCATAGGCTGGGGACAATTTTTATAGCGTCTTTCAAATAAGGAAATAAATATGAACGTAATTCAGAAGGAGCTGGAGTCAATGAACAGATCAAAAGGTGAGGGGTGGGATATGGTTGGAGAACCAAAAGATGAGGAGGATTTTAGCTGAAGAGTTCTAGAGAAACAAGAGAGAGGAGAAAAAGGGAGAAAGCAGGAGGCTATAACTGTTGGCCAAAGCATAAACCAGGTTTCATACTTAACCTACTTTAATTAAAACATGAAGTCCCTAAGAACAGCAGGGTAAGTTAGACAGTATTTGCACACTCAGTCTTAGTCTCCTTGTTCAACTAGACATTGTCTAGCACAAACTGCTATTACACCTTCAATAGTGGCTGAAATTTATTCTTCAAAAACATTCAAAATCTACAATGGTAGCTTGAGAAGAGAACCTCTGCACTCACTTTTGAAAATTCAGACCATTTGCTTTAAAAATACCCATTTCAGGTATGTTAGCAGTGTGGTGCAATTTTATGGGTTCTGAAACTAAATCACAGTTTTAAAGAGATGGCACTAAGGCCAAGTTTACACTACAAACTTACATCAATATAACCGTGTCGCTCAGGGGTGTGAAAAATCCACACCCTTGAGCGACGCAGTTCTACTGACTTAACCCAGGGGGTAGACAGCGCTATGTTAAAATGAGGGCTTCTCCTGTTGACATAGCTGCCGCCTCTCATGGAGATGGATTAACTACGCCAATGGAAGAAGCTCTCCTGTTGGCGTAGTGGTGTCTTCACTGAAGCGATACAGCAGCACAGCTGCGCCATTGCAGCATTTTAAGTGTAGACCTGCCCTGAATGTTACAGCCACAGTAAACTGGCATTGTTCCAAGAGACGACATAACCCGCTGTATGATGTAACTAAGATATGAATCCTTGATTTGAAATATGCAAACTACTGATACATAATGTCTCTAGTAGAGATTTAATGGCCAGTCGTGTCAAGTACCATTTCTAATTCATCCTTTGTATATGGATTCATACAATACAATATAGGTTAGCATGGCAACTAGACCAGTATTTCACAAATATAGCCAGTATTTTTATTTCAACTGAAATAAAGTTAGGATATTGCAAGAAAACTATTTCCCACTGCCTCTAATGCCTTTCCCTTCACATTGTTTGGTGCTATAACAACCAAGTACAAGGGTTACTATTTTTCCTATTAACATTAAAGAATTTTTATTTATTGTATTACAGTGATGCCTAAAGGTGCAGAATTAACACAGCAATGGCATGGCAAACAACAAATGATGAGGAATATTTGGATCTGTATCCCAAGTACACAGAGAAGGTCAGATCACCACATAGGCATCAACAGGAAGAGAACCCACAGTAGGACTAACGTCAGCAATGTGCTGAATATCACTGTACATCAAGGCAAGAATAACTACATAATTAACATGTAAATGTTTTTATTCCCAAAATTTCATTTTGAGAGAGACATTAGTAATTTTACTACTTACTAGGTAGCTTTAGCACTGCCTTGTATTGTTACAGTGAGTATAGGTATCCAGGTGCCTCGATATTCAAATGCAGGTAATACAGTCACACCTCCACCCATTCCCAGCATTCCTGGGTTGGTTTGTGATGATGCTGTACCCCCAGATGTATTGCTTCCTATAAATTAAAGAAAAACAGAAAGAATAAAAAACTATGCTCTTTAGTTTTATTTTAAATTAGAAGAAAGTATTCTTTTTCTGTATTTCACTGTGTGCAGAGATATGCATATAATAATGCAAGAACACATGCCTGATAAAAATTTCTCAACTTTTGAGTGCCCCCTGCTGGCTAAAATGAGGTATATTTTGTATGGTTCTCTTAGTTAAAGGGGCATCGTTAATATAAATGATTCAGTTTATATATTATATATATATACACACACACACATTTGAGAATATAAAATATTTTGTACTTCTGAAACACCGTCCAACAAAGAGCTCAAAACATTTAACAAACATTAGCAAATTAAACCTAAAAAGCCCTGTGATACATGTTGGAGTAAGAAGGAGATTACTGAGTTACCATTACATTGGATAAAGATATAAATAAATGTAAAATAGTTCTTTCGTTTTAGGTTTACATATGTATCAAATGTAATAACACAGCTAGTAACCAGACTACAAGCTCTCCAGGGACCTTGCATTTGTATTTGGGTTGCTAGCCTGTGCTGAAGCCCATGCCACCATGTATATACTGCTATTGTTACCTATGCTAAAGTTAAAGTTAGCAGGGGTACAGCTGCCCTTGGTACAATCACACCTTCACTTACCAGTGTAGCCATACCCTTTCTGTGCAGAGAAGGCCTTAATTTCCTGCTATGCACAAGCACCTCACCTGACTATTTGTTTAAAAACTGTAGGCCATTGCCTATGGTAGACGCTGACAAGGCAATATGCACAGCTGATTAATCATTGCCAGCAACAGATTCAGTTAGTAAGCCAGCTGCACAGAGCTGCTCTGGATCTGTGCTTCTAACATGAGCTTGAAGAAGGAGAGAGAGAGAATAAGGAAAGACTCATGCAAAGCGGGAGAGAGAGACAGACAGACAGACATAGCAAGGAAGAAGAATGGGTGAAATGAAAGAAAGAAAACATGACAGGAATATAAGGCAAAGATAACAGTGCTGGATCCAAGGGCTTGTCTGCACTTGAAAGTTATTTTGGATTAAGGTAGGGTGTGAATTTAGCTATAGCTATTCCAAAATAGCTCCCCCGTGTAGACATACTTATTCCAGAAAAAAAATGTCTACATGGGGAGTTATTCCAAAATAGCTATTCTAGTTAATTTCCCTATGTAGACAAGCCCCCAAAATTTTTCCACTGGGAATTAAGGAGACCCCAACATTTATAACTGAGCTACCAAAACATGTCTAACAAACACCAGGTAAAAACATTTTTTTCAGTTTTAACATCGCTATTAACTAATTGAATAAGGAACATGTGGATGTGGGAAAAACTAAATTTTAGATTTAATTTAATTTCCAGGGAACAGGAAGAATGTCCTCATATCTTAGATATTTTCTTGCACTGTCTGTGTTCTCTAGATATTAAGAAATGTACAGATAGGAGGAAAAGTGGTACTATCATTTCAGCTACTGAAATTTAGGTCCAAATCTCATTTTGGTCACATATGAAAATGTTGTCTCATTCTATTCCTCACTTGTAGATACATCAAACCCCACATAATTTAGCTTAATTACATATAATTATTAATAACCTCTCAAGAAAGGTTCAGAATCACCCTAGAATAAAAAAAGATGTTTGCATATCAGGAATAGGAAAGTATCTGTGCTTACCTGAAATTTTCCTTTGAGTAATAAGTCCCTCTGTTGCAATGGGTCCTTCAGCTGGCTTACAGCCTGTGAGCCTAACCAGTCATTGGCAGCAGCGGAATACCCTGCCTCCTGCAGTTCCCTCCAGTTGAGACAAATTCCACAGTCAAGATGATTCCCCTGCACTTGCCTAACTTACGGATTGATAATTATGTTTTGAAGAAAAAGCACAACAAAATAAACCTGAATTTTGGATGTCAATTTACATCTCTATCGTGGATGATCTATTTGTCTCCAGGTGGGCTGGATCTGTGGACCTTATTTCTTGAAGAACGGAAGTTTTTCAGTAAACACAAGTACATTTTCCTATTCTTCATCACACTATGGTCCACAGATTTCTTACAATTGGATTTTGAGAGCAATGTTCCTCCTACCTGGGTGGGAATTAGGAGTGTCCTTTAAATATGGATATCCAAAAAGAGGTACATTATATATCTTCTATCTTCCTTTGGGCAGTGAGATGTAGAGAAGACTTCTGCCAAAAATATCATTGGCTAAAGACTGCACCACTAATATGTAGAATATGATGAATTTATTTATTAAGGGCCACATGGCAACCTAGCAGACCTCATTACAGGAAAGAAATTTCCCTGCTCTGAGTTTAGCAGTGTTTCTACGGATTGGACTTTGTTGCTTGACAGGAGGAGGAACTATTTACTGAATTTACAGTTGGGAGGACTATTTGCCTGAATTCAAGGTACAATAACAGGTCTCATCTGAGAAAATGATACTTCATAAATTTGTCTGATTGGAGTTAGTAGTTAGCCATTAAAATAAACTTCCTGTTAAGTATGACCCTTACCGCAGAGGTTCGATTGGAATAGTGCTGTAAGAACTGGAATTAGGTTCTATAACCTTGGACTGTATTTGTACAAGATTTGCTTTTCTTGAATATGTTGAGAACATTATAGTTCAGAGAGTTATCCTTTTTGCTTGGACACATCCACATAAGAGGGGGAATTCAAGCTATGGCCTCGTCTAAATGAACACTTCATTCATGGCAAACTGGGTGTAAATCTACTCCACACTAGTGAGCCATGCTCTAAGTGTCCATATACTAAAAGTTACCTAATGCACTTTGATCTATCCCACTTTGAAAAAGTAGGAGATCACAGATCACTAGGGAACTTTTGGTGTGCAGCAGCAGGGTCCCAATTAGCGTGACCAGATAGCAAGTGTGACAAATCGGGACAGGGGGTGGGGGGTTATAGGAGCCCATATAGAAAAAGCTTCAAATATCGGGACTGTCCCTATAAAATCGGGACATCTGGTCACCCTAGTCCCAATGGACACCTAGTGTGGGGTAGATTTATACAGCGTTCATACAGACAATCCCCAAGTTTCACTTGCTTAGTATGGTAGCTAAACCATGGACTTTGCATCAACCAGCAGAAAAAAAACCTATTGGTTGACTTCTAGGGTCCACAAGAGTGATAAATGCTTCGTCCAAATATCCATTTTGAACCTTTCTGGTGCTAGATGGAGAACTGTTTTTTGCAATAGCAGACCTCCTTTGTGAGGTAGACATATCAGAAGATCTAATGCTAGGTCAATCTAGGCCTGAGATTGATTGTCTTTCTGGGCACTGAAAAGGCTAGCTTTAATAAAAAAAATTAATTAATGTTAAAAAATGATATAATACACAGGTTAAGAAAAGAGTGTCTGTACATCTGGGCATAGTGCTTAGATTATCCACAATACAAATTTTATTTTAAAAGTCATAAGACACAAAGTGCATAATCAGCAATAACCCAAATTAGGGTGACTAAATTTAACAATACAGTTTAGATACTAGGATCCGAATACTTGGGTACATCACTCAGGAAAAGTTATACAGAGAGCTGGCTGTACAAAGCAAATATAGGAACGAGTGTAGATTGTCCCTCAGTAATTGAGCATTTAAGGCATCACTGGTGCCTCCCTATCTTTCATATCACTCTGATCTGAAGTAGTTGATGTATGCTTTCACTCACTTTCTGGCATTTCCACGGACTTCTTGAGAGTGGAAATAGGAAAAAAAACTGTGCCTATGATTTCTGCACAAATCCATAGAGTATCAGCTCTGGACAATGTCCAGCGATCTTATTTTGGCCAAAGCTATTAGTAGCCATCTGCTCCCTAGCTGAAAGAGTCTGTTACCCATCAGGACACCAATTCCAGACAGGGCTGCCTGGGAGTCATGCAGATTGCTCTGCCGCAACTGAGGGCATCTGTGCCTCATCTCAGCACCCTAGTATGTTCAAGATAACACATTCAAAGTAGTATTCTCTCTTGTACTTCAAAGCCTGCTTCACTTGCCATATAATCTATACATTTCTTTCTATAGTGTCTGGCAGGAGTGAGGATTGTAAATCTACTTTTTTGATTACTCTGATTAGCCTTAGCTTTCCATAAAGTTTCCCACTGTAGAATTAAGAGAGCTGAGAAGAAGCTACTCACCTTGTGCAGTAACGATGGTTCTTTGAGATATGTCCCTCTATGGGTGCGCCTCTAATCAGAGATTTTAGGTAGCAGTGTCTGTTCAGCCCGCACATGCGCTCTGCCCCCCTTGTGGTCTGTCTCGAGGCTATCTAGCACTGTGCAGGTGCCCCCCCCCCAGTTCCTTCTCTACCATAGAGCCCTATATTGAGAACTCCCAAGTAGAGGGGAGGAGGGCATGTTGTGGAGCATGCATAGGGACATGCATCTGAAAGAACCATTGTTACTGCACAAGGCGAGTAACTTTCTCTTTTTCTTTGAGTAGTGTCCCTATGGGTGCTCCACTGTAGGTGACTTCACAGCAGTATCCCCCAGGAGGGCTGGAGCTTTGAAGTGGAGTCTGTTATTATAGAGAGTACTGAGGAGCCGAAGATGGCGTCGGAGGCCAAATCTCCAGGTTTCACATAATGTTCTGTGAAAGTGTGGGCAGATGCCCAAGTTGCTGCTCTACAGATTTCCGAGATAGGCACATCTTTAAGGAATGAGACCAAGGTAGAAATTGACCTCATGGGGTGTGTACGGACTCCAGACAGAGGCAATAGGTTGCGTCCTTGCAAACAGAGATTAATGCAACCCGAGACCCATTTGGATAGTCTTTGAGCCGGTACTGCGGAGCCTTTGGATCTTTCTGCAAATGAAAGGAAGAGCTTAGGGGATTTCCTAAAGTCCTTAGTCCTGTCCAAGAAGAATGCTAGTGTTCTTCTAACGTCTAGCATAGGCAGAATCGCCTCCCTGTTATTATGTGGTTTTGGAGGGGAAAAATAAACCAGGAAGATAGATCGGTTGATTTATACGGAAAGCGGAGGCAACTTTAGGGAGAAACTTGGGATGCAACCTTAGAGTTACTTTGTCTTTAAAAAAAGACCATGAATGGTGGGTGTGCCATCAGTGACACTACTTCTCCTATGTGCCTAGCTGAGGTGATGGCAATTAGAAATACTGTCTTCATGGATAGCTGTAAGAAAGAGCAAGTTGCAATGGGCTCAAAGGGAGGTCTAGTCAAAGCTCTAAGAACTAGGTTAAGATCCTTACTGTGGAGGGCATTGATCACAGTTTGGTTAGTCTGTCTCTGTTCAGGGAAAGACAGAACTGGGCCACATCTGAAGACACCTCACAAATAGTCAGGCGTTTGGAGTGATGAAGGTGCATTCTGCCATATGACCCAACAGATAGATGCAGGCAGTTCCTGACCCACATAAGGGTGGTAAGTCTGTGCTGTGTCGAGTTTGGTGGCAATAAACTACAGTTGCTGTACAGGGGTCACTATTGATTTCTGTAGGCTAAGTTCCAGGCCTAGCTGCGCAAATGCATGCATGGTCGTATGAGTGGCTCATACTGCATCCTCAAATAAGGGAGCCCTGAAGAGGCAGCCATCCCGATGCAGGTAGATAACAATACCCAGTGTTCACAAGAGAGGCAGTATGATGGAGAGAACCTTGGAGAATACCCTGGGTGCAGACGAGAGGCCAAAGGGGAGCACTCTGTACTGATAATGGTCCTGCCTAAAGGTAAACCATAGGAAGCTCCTGTGCAAGACGCATACTGAGATGTGGAAGTAGGCATCTTGTAGGTCAAGGGCCGAAAACCAATCTCCTTGCTCTAGGAACTAGAATAATGGCTGCTAGGGTGACCATGTTGAACTTCTGTGCCTTCAGGTATTTGTTTAGTGCCCTTAGATCTAGAATGGGCCTCCAATCTCCACTCACCTTGGGGATCAGGAAATAACAGGAGTAAAACCCCTTGCCTCTGAATTGCATTGGAACTGGTTCAGTGGCATAGCATAACAGATTCTCTACTTCCTGGTGAAGTAGGTTCTCTTGAGAAGGGTCCCTGAACAGGGACGGAGAATGGGGGTGGGACATGAATTGAATGGTGTAACCCTTTGAAATAATTTCCAAGACCCATCTGTCAGAGGTGATATTCTCCCAGCCGCTGTGAAAGAGGGCCAGGCGACTTCCAAAGGGACGTGACCGGTGTGTAGAAGGCAGCTGATGTTGCAAGGAATAGCTGTCAAAAGTGTTTAGCGGAGGGGACGTGAGAGAATGCGGACTGGGGTGCTGACTGCTTCCGCTTTTGTACTCTGGGCCTTTTGGGCTGTGCTTTGTAATAGGGTCGTGATGCGGGTACTGAGGAGGTTGTGACCTGTGCTGTGGTTGAGAGCTGTATCCTTTCTTTTGTCCCTCAGTGTAGACCACCAGGGAGGGACAACGAATGTGCTTGCTGAATGGACACTGCTACCGAAAATCTCAGATTAGAGGCGAAGGGGCGCAGATACACCTACAGTGGCGCACCCATAGGGACACTACTTGAATAAGAACTTATTTACCTGAGCAACTGATCTCAGTGACAAAAGCCCCATAATATACCTGATGAAATAGATGCATGTCCCACTATCTTTTTCAGGGACAAGACCTTTGGTCATGGGATTTGTAGGTTGAGAGAGACCATACCTGCAACACTGTCCACTCATGTTAATACTGCTCATGAAAGCATGTGGAGGGCATCAAGTGACTTCTTAATTTTGTTTTATTTTTAGTTACTTCTGTTGTTGCGGGTTGATGCCACCTGAGAGCTTTTATGCCCAGGAGAAGGGGTGGAGGTGATGCTTGCCCAGACTCAGTAATCTGCTTGAAAGTTTTTTTTTTTTTTTTAAATATGTACATTTTATTTGATCCCCTAACTCTGATTTGCACAGCTGGCTTTCCCCTTTCCTGAATAGGAAGTGGAGTGGGGTAGGATCGGGTAGGAGTGTGGACACCCAGAGGAACCAGCACAGATGTTTGGCTTGGTCTTTTCTGCATAGATCTGCAATGCTGAACCTCCATGAAGGTGAGAAAGTGAACCAGGTACTGTGGATTATTCAATCCTACTGCAGTGTAAAACTGAGCAGGTGACCTGGGCACTGAGGATTATTCACCTTGCTGTACTCTGTGAAGGTGAGCAGGTGAACTGGGAGCTATTTTTGTTTATGCATATCCCCTTTGGAAGTTTGTTCCCTATAATCCTCCTTCAGAGGGGGGAGTGAAATTGAGTTTAGACATTGCTTAAGTTGGCTAGCAATCTCTCTGCTCTCAAAGAGGCGGGATTTACTGTCTTCTTTCCCCAGCAGAGGCCCTCCCTTATTGGGTTTCTTAGATAAGTTATTTCTCAGAGACTCTCTGCCACATGTGTCAGATAGGCTTATGTTTCCCCTGAAGATCTCAGCGTAGGTGCTGAGTAAGGATCCCGAGGGGGAGGAGGATCCTATTATAAAGGTCACAGCAAGGAGAGGGAGTAGGACCCAAATGCCCCTTATTGAACTCTCTGGTGGTAGCAGTGTCCATACTATGCCCACTGCTTTCCACCCAAAACCCAAGGGGGGGCTGAAGGGGAAGAAGTGACTGAGCTCCACAGTCAGAGGCATAGCTGCTGGTGCAGGCTCCAGGGACTTAAGTGTGATTTACCGCTCATCCAATGCCACTCCCCTCTTGGAGATGGAAGTGGGGCAGTTACTTGCAACCTATTCCAAAGCCTGCCTGTCTGCCTCCTTTCCCGCCTGAGAGAGGGAGGCAGAGACAACCCTGCCTGGACTGAGCCAAGGGGGGGGTGGGGAGGGGGAGGAACTGCACTCTGCCCACAGAGAAGGCCAAGCTCATCAACGAGACCTTTCCCTTTTGCCTTTCTCGGCCCAGCTCTCTCCCTAAAGGCTACAGAGGCATCAGCTGCTGCAAACACCTCAGAAGGAGAAGCAAAGCAGAGAGGAAAAAGTCTCCCCAAAGGAAAATGTCTCCCTGGGGCAAACTGGGAATCTGACAATCACATTATTGGACCAAACTTCTGACAGTCAGAAATTTGAACTGCAGTTTGCAATTTCCCTTAGAAAAGCTCTACAGCAGGGTGGGGTCTCGCTGACACAGGGGAAGCAGCATAAACTGCAGTGAACTTCAGGTGACAGGGCATCCCCCTGCTGCCAGAAACTGACAGGTCTGGTTCTGCCGCCAAGCTGCAAGCAGGCTGAAGTACCCATTGCAACAGACCGTCAGACCTTAGCACTATGAAGAATAAAGGCATATTGACAATACAGTCTGGACAAGTTTGCACAGCACTACATTTCTCTTGGCTTAAGCTAGTTTCTCACTTTCACGAGCGCTAAATTTATACTGAGAATTGTATCAAATAAGCAAACCTCAGATTTTCACAAATATATTGTTTACTATTATAAGAAATTATTAGGAAATTACTTGAAATAAAAAATACAAAAAAGCCTTTACCAGTTTGGTTTACTGTCGTTGATGTGTTTCCTGTGCTTGGTACAAGAAAAAGCGACTGGATGAATGATCCCAGTGCATTTACAATGTCACGGAAAACCTTGGTAGAATGCGGTTTCATATCATAGGATTGACAAAAGGACCTGCAAAGTGGTTTAAAACATTTCTGAGCACGTAGTCAACAAATTAAAAAGTAAAAACTACATTTTTAAAGCCAACTATTTAAATGAATATGCATGTATAGTATGGTCAATGTTTCCTTATTCTGTCTGGACTATTTATAGGCTGAGCTGATAAAGTCTTTAAATTCTGGAACAAATATTTAAGTTTCAAGGCATTAAACCAAACAAGTTTGTTAATAATGGCTCAGTACTCAATGGACAATAAATATGCCCCTGCACTTCAACAAACACTCCATCCTGCAGATTCTATTGCTTTCAAGTCCCTAAATGCTTAGCACAAAGAAATTGTTTTTTTTGCTACAGATAAATACGACCTCTTCATTTAATACATAAAGTGAAATATGGCATATTACCTTAATAGCTGGGGCTGCACGCAAAGCCTGTGGATAGATTCCACTGCAACAGCTCTTAGCCATTGTGGTTTGTCTGCATCCAGAAACTTCACTAGTAGTGACAGAAAAATCTCACATTCTGTTACCTAAAAGAAACAGGCTATAGTCATAAAAAGAAAAAAAACAATGTGTCATCTCAGCCCTAAGCATATATCAGATCAGCAAGTACCAGTATCCCTGGCACATACAGGGTCATTCTGCTTGGCATAGGGTTTAAAAAAAAATACTTTCCCCGCAAAAAAATATATACCCAATGATCATGTTGGTGTGTCAAGCACATACTGTACATCCAAAGGGGTTAAAATGAGTTAAATTCCTTATAGCCATTTCTAAACAAAGTTTTAAAGAATGCTATAGAACAAGTCCCTGTTAGTTTGGCTTATTTAAAGGCTGGAGAGGTCAGCAGTAACTGAAAGTTAATCCCTTTAGTGAAAGAACCGAGTTTTATAGTACAAATAGCTTTAACAGGCATCTGAGTTCTTTTGCTTCTAGCCAGCTTGAAAAGTTCAAGTCAGAAAGCCTCTTACTGAACTATTAACATTGAAGTAAGAAACAACTGCTCTCAAACCAAAATGTGTGAAATTGATGCAAGAAGAATCTTAACTGAATTAAGAATCAAGATAAAATAGCTACCCAAGACCTTTATGGTAAGGAAAAAAAGATGCATGGGAAAATGATTAATAATCCGAACTCTGATTTTTCATTTCAACCCATGCTTGAAAAATGTAGGTGGGGAAGAGATGGTTATAGTTACCTCATGTCTCACAATTATTGGTTAAAAATAAAAGGAACAAACAAGTGAGAACAAACTGGAGCACACCATCTTTTTCCTCCCAATCTGAAGCCCTGTACCTATATATCATATCTGCAAATTAAGTTACTTATCTCTCATTAGATAGGTCAGATGCTGAATGGCAGGAAATATTTTACACAATGTACACTTCATCTCTGAAATTAAATGTCACAGGAAAATATCCAGACAAATAGTTTAGTGGAATTTAAAAAGGATAGAGACACATATATGAAAAGTGTAAACCAGCAGCACCACAACAGAAGCTTCAAGGGATAAGAGGTAAGAGGTAAGGGCACTAACCAAGCTCACCCTATAACCCTTTACAAACCAGGAGTTTGGCAACAACTCCCAGCAGCCTACCCTCTCTCCTTGAGAGACCATATGGGCTGAAACCTTTCATGGAATTTTCAAGGCACAGGAGATCTTTAAGCTCATCCCCAACATCCTCCAGAAAAAGAGAGTCAGCAGCAGCAATCAATGTTAGCAGCACCAAGAGGAAGGACCTGGGGGGTATATATACGTTGCAGCTGAAAACCTGCCTTCCAGCCTGAATAGACAGACTCAAGCTAGCTCCGCTTGAGCTAGTGCACTAAACATAGCAACGTTGATGTTGCAGGATGGGCAGCAGCTGAGGTTAGCCACCCAAGCCGCAGCATCACACAACTATTTTCAGTGCACTAGCTCAAGCAGAGCTAGCACAAGTCTGTCTGCTTAGTCCCAGAAGTCCTGACTACATGGCAGTTCTCGACTCCTAGCTGTTTGGTGGGGTTGGGTGACTCACTGTTAGGTGGGAGAGTGTGGGAACAGGGGGTAGCTCAGTAATGAACAGACTCTGCAGTAATGGGCAGACTCCATAGCACCTTCACAGCCCTGGACTTAGTAATAATCAGAGCATACGGCTCTGTAACTGAGCATTGGACTTTCCACCAAACACCTGACAAGATCCTTCGATGCTCCTTGGACAATAGCTGAAACAGTAAGAATTATTTCAGTCCTGCAGCCTTCTAGCCTCATAAGAAACAGGCACCCCATGAGGCAAGGCTTATGTAGAAGAAGGCCCTTCATCTGAGGGAACTGTGAAGATTTAAAACAAAAACAAAAAAATACACTAATAATTGTAAGGAAAAAGGAATTTGGGAATAATCTATTTAGAAGGGGAAAAACAAATATGATAAAATATCATACTAGGCAGTGATCCCAGGGTCATTTTCTTGTAGGATGGAAGAATGGTTTGGTTGAAAAATAATTTTGAAGCGTTCAGATGACTTTGAACCATCAAATTGTGCACACTGAAAGCCTATGTAACTGTGTACATGTATTACCATTATCTCCCCTTCTGCAATATGCACATCTTCCTACATCTTGCTTTAAATCAGTAAATTCTTTGGGAGGCAGGGACCAAATCTACCCACGGCCTTATATAGCATCTAGCAGAACAGGGCCTTGCTGATCCCCATTAATGCCTTTGTGTGCTATAGTAATAAAATAAGTAATTGATAACAAGCTTCATACTTCAGGGTATAAGCTAACGAAACCTATTGTGACTGCACGGTACTTCTTGCTCTCCCATGATAAATCTTAGGAAAAAAATATTAGGAAACATTCATAGGGGACTTTCACCTTTCTCTGAACCCTCAGGTATATGCCAGTGCTAGACAAGCAATTTCATGCTGAAGTGGACCAATGGTTCCTAACTGTCCACAGACCAGTGAACAGAATCTTTTCCTGTTTATTAAGATAACTGTCAGTCTCAAAAGATGAATGTGGTGTAAGCACCAAAGCAATTCAGTTGTGTCATGCTGCAGCATTGCGAGTGGCTAAAAACGCCAGTTCTTGAATGACAGTCCCTGCCACTGATGGTGCAGGTATAAGGCGCAGGACCAACAAATGAAACCAGCATGCTTGGTGCTTGAGACCTGCTGCACTTTCCTCTTTGCTCTCTTCACTTTCCCTCTCAACCACCTCCCATCAACCTCTGACTCCATGATGCAGTGCAGCACTCCAGTGTAACCTGTTACTAGCTACCTCTTCCCAGTTTGCAGTGTCAATGTTGAAAGTTTTCAAATCCCGCTTGCAAATGTCCTTGACCCCAAGCCTAGGTCATCCCAGCGGTCTTGGAGCATCCACAAGTTCTCCATACAGAAGGTCCTTTGGAATGCATCCATCATCCATCCAGTACAGAGGACAAAGCCTATGAAGACATCTGTGTTTAAGAATGTTAAGATGTTGCAACAAAACATTAGAACTTGGATGCTAGTGAGTTTTTGACTGCAAAACCCACCCCGTGTTCCTGGCAGTCTTGTTTGCCTTTTCTTTGCCAAAAAAGAGGAGTAACGCATGTCGTGTAGAGAGTCTGTGCCGAAGAGAGTGGCCACATAAAAGTCAAACTTCTTTAGCTTTCAATCCATGACTGCAGACTTTCTAAGGTCATTGACCTCCTGTAGGCCATTTGACATATCAGTGCACATTGTCCTGACACTCCAACAAGATAGTTTGAAGAGGGCGACCATCACACCCAAACCTTTGGCGTGTAGGCCTAAGCATCAAAAATAGGGAGGCAGATGCTTGCTTTAGAACCAAAGCTCATCCTCTTAGCAGTAAGGACTCAACCAAAAGCCTTGGGGACCAAAATGTCTAGAAGCCAGCACAGATGCAGGGGAGATGCCAGAAGACAAAGCTGAGTTACAGTAACACCTGCCTGTTTTCTCCACTGCATATTGTGTTCAGAGTTTTCTCCTCTAGCTTTTGTTCAACCAAGAACTGGCTGCAAGGCAGCAGAACCAGATGGATATTACTACTTTATGGACACAGTTTTTCATTCCAGTGGTTATCTGGCATATCCCCACTACTCAGTGAGAAGTGGAATTCCTGGTTTAGACACCGGGAACTCAGTCCATGGCAGATTGTACTGGGTTATGTGGTACACAAAGCAGGACACGTTTGCCTGACCTGCTTTACCCCCTACATTATATACAGAAGTGAAAATGTGTGGTTTTTTTTAAAAAGGGAATTTAATGTTTATGAAATGTGCGAGATTAACAGGTTTAGCATAGGCAATGGCAATACCAGAACCAGCTTCCTTTCATTGCTCCATCAACATGCTTTAAAATCCGACCCATCTACTAGCCATTAGATGATAACTCCATTTCCATGGAAATTAAATTAATGAAATTTCTAAGAGTTAACAAGGGTTTTAGATTTGTGTGCTTTTACACCACATGTGCACCTGCCATGAATAATGAAGAAAGATGGCTGTACCATCTATCCAAGTGCCATTAGAAAGGGATTTCTCTCTCCCTTCTACTCAAATACCTGTATTTTCATTTCGATCTCTGCATACAGCTTCAGAGCTCTCACTGAATATCTTTATTCTTTGCACTTTTCTTTATTAAAGAACTACAACTTCAAAAGTATACAATATAAACTGACTCAGATACATGTATGTATTACATTTGTGTCCGATTTTTTAAGTAAATTTTTTCCTCACCATTAACTTCTTAAGTGGGTATTTTATCCAATCTCTTAAATTAGTTAAAGACCTTTGTAAATACATACATATTTCAATTAACTGTTTATAAATGATTCCCGATTCTCTCTTTTTATCTCTGAGCCCTCGCACATTGATTTTACTTTATATTTTCAAATGAGAAATGAGACCAAACAATTAAAAAAATAAATCAGATCACCAAACACTAAAATAATTCAAGTACTAGGTAAAATTTTCAAAACCCTCAACTGACTTGGGAGCCTAAGTATCACTGATCTTCAGTGATATCTTTATTCCTAAAACAAAAATTTTAATGATAATTTTTTTTAAATTCTTGTAACAGATTAAAGCATATTTTGAAAGATTAGGAAAAAATGTGTATTATCAATATACTGTAACTTTTTTAAAATTTTACAACGCTAGGTTAACTTCATGATCCTTTCCTTATTCACCACAGAACAAAACAGTAAGGGATCCACAGATTGATAGTCAGATGAAGGCCTAAGACCATTTTAAGAGGCATTCAAAACACCTGAGATGTTTCAAACTTCAGGTACAGGTGATTCAAACGTCTGAACTATCCTTTTCCCCCCCAAAAATATTAAAAGGAAAAATACCACAGGAGTTAGGTTCTTCAATGTTTTCTGGTAGTCCTAGCAGTCAGCCTCACATTTCAAGAGTTAATCTTTTTCTTATCCAATTTTTTGCAAAATCTTCAACATAAGATTCTAATAAATCAAAGGATTTAAATAAACTGAAGCATGAGTCAAGTGTCAGAACTGCAAAAAGAAACTCATCAAGAGTTG